AAGAAGTGTTAGTGTTTCACAACATCAACTTTGGAATCGGGGCGATTCACAATGATCGAATTTATTTCCAAGCATATCTGAAGGGTGCTCACTCATTCATATTCGTTGATGCTTCTTTGATTGAACTCTCTCACCCCTAACCCACTGCATTAGATTGTATGCCAGCTGTGAACATAGATTAGAGTTTTATTTGATGCTATTCACCATAGTTTGAATATAAGGCAAACTGCAACTATGGCAAATTTAACCGTGTTCGAATAGCATCGTATCAGCGTTTGCTGGTTTGATCTAGGTTGCATAGTAGGTGGTCATCACAGATTCCATCATAAACTCCTTCGAATTAAAGCCAATTTATTTTTAGCACTATGCTGTATAGTCAATTTTAATCACAGATTCACAGATTCACATAATCAGGTTGATGGGGGCGTGAGTGATATAAAACATACTGATGGGTCGNGAAATTTTAGTTATTCATCAAGTTGCCAGGGAATGTTCTACCTCGGGCTACCTCGTTCTCGGCAGTCAAATTGGTCTCTCGTTCGTTAGTGATAGTAACCATCAGCTGAAAAATCCCTTTTTACTATGTCATTTGAGATATTCATCTACATCAAGTTGTTGGTGTTGATAAAGTTTGATTTTCAAAGTAATCGTCGAGCGTCCGTTCATTCTGCTCCATCTACTGACCGAATAGATAGCCGTTTTTGGTGTTGCTCAAACCAACAGAAATATAGTATACTCAACGGCATTCTTGAAACGCACTTATTTCACCGAATATTATATTTACTGGAGTAGATTTCACAAGATATTTAAGTAGATTGTTAAACTAGATGAAAAATGGATTGTGACAAAATGCATAACTAGTTACAAACTCCAGGGGATGAATAGTGTTAGACGCGCCTAGTTCCTATTCTGATCTATCGAAATATGAATAAATTCTTGAAAAGGATACACCATTTCGCACTCAGCGCCACATTCTTCATTCAAGAGGTTAATGAAAGCATAAAGAATTCCACGTAGATCACGTGAGCATTCTTATCTCAATTGGCCGATGACGGATAGATTTTGGAAATCCCTCTGGACCTTATTCCCTTCAACTTAACAAATTAGAATTTCCATTTATTCGAGTCGCATTGTGAAGGTAAACGTTTGCCGATGTGTAACACAATTTTATAAAAGAGATGAATCCTGAAATTCTGAAATACTAAACAAACCGATGGTGAATCAAATTGCATAACTTTAAGCCGAAACAAAATTGTTCCAGAGATAAAGAATACAACGTCATTTTTTATTTCATGATGCATGTGTGTGTTTCGTTTCGCTTATTTACTGATAAGACAGAAGTTTGGTTGACACTGGTATTGGGTGAGTGAATTAGTATCCGCTTTCAAATGTTGTGCTTCGATGAGAACATTTGACTTCGGTCAGTTATCGAACAACGTTTGATCGTATTCTGCTGTAGTTAAGCTTTTGTAACCTTGGAAGTTCATTTCATTCATTCACCACATGAAGCATGCATTTAGTCATGAGGAAATTTTTGTTTGATGGCGGACAAACAGCACTGAACAGCTGTTTTGGTATGGTTGGGACGAGCAGGACAGTATAGGCAGGATAGATCTGCTTTTGATATGAACGGGATCAATGAGGTTATTTGTAGATATTAGCAACCGACTTACAATGGTTGTTTCGGTTAGTTGCAAAGTTTGTCTGTGTATGTGTGCGGTGGGGACCGTTTCAAGCAGTTGACGGGCACATTTCGCTACCAGGTGCATCTTGAAACATTCTTTTATTATTACGCAATGTGAATTACAGTTAAAAGAGAAATCTCCATAGACAAATAACATACTGTAAAAGGGAGAGGTGAGAACATTCAGGTAAGATCCAGTTTATTGATTCTGCGTTTAAAAAGTGAAAGGTTACAGGTTGAGGAAAAAGAAGTAAGTGGGAGGGTGTTCCACAGTTTAGCAGTTCGGGGGAAAAGAAGAATGGAACAGAGAGGTACGACATCTGGGAATGGTAATCTGATAAGGATGGCTAAATGCCTGCGTACGGGATGGGTGGGTA